CTTGGGGTTCATAGGGGCTTCTGTTAGTAGGACGCTGTGTGACTCCGGGTTGACGCGCAGCTCATTGTAGAAGGTGTGATGCCAGATCTTCTCCATGTCATCCCAGTTGGTGACGATACCGTGTTCGATAGGATACTTGAGCGAAAGCACGCCACGCTTTGCTTGAGCCTCGTCGCCAACAAAAAGCTTCTTGCTGGCGCTTCCCATCATCGCTTGCTCGTTCTTTGGTCGGCCAACAATGGATGGAAACACATGGCGCGGCGCATCATCGCCGGAGAAGCCGGCCTTCACCATGCCAGAGCCGTTGTCACAGACAATAGCGGACTGTTCTTCGTCAGACATCCTTAGAAACAAAAAAAAACGCGATATAAACAAAAAACCTAAAAAAGTTTTTCTCCCTGGTTTGTTTGTTATGTGAAAAAAGAAGAAGAAAAAACAAGAAATGGACAAAGATCAAACCGCCGTGAGGGTGAGCATCACACACAAAAAAAAAGTCAACGACCACCAACAAGCCATCAAAGCTCAAAGCTGCAAACTCCTATCGACTAGCTCGCTCACGCAAACATGGAGGAAGGTTTGAAAAAAAAAATCTCTTGAATGTTCAGATTCCGATTATGACTGGCTTGAAATTATTATTAAAAGCTCCTTCAGTAAATCAACACTTGAAAAAAAGATATATATATATGGGAACGCGATCTCAGAAACCTTACAAGGACAGAAAACGGTAAGCCCACGGAAGAAAAATAATTCCGGTGATAGGAAAACTATTCACCTTTATGCAGAGATTACTAAAAGCATTTGTTGTGCACAATGCTTGGGCCTGCCTCGTCATACTCACTCTTCTTGATCCACATTGTCTGGAATGTCGTAAGGGATGAAAGGATGGAGCCTCCAATCCATACACTGTACTTCCGCTCCGGTGGCGCAACAACCTTCGGCTTAATTGAAGAAGGTGCAAGGTTACTGATCTCCTTTCCAAGACGCTCTGGAAGATTCTTGAACATTGTGGTGCCGCCAGAGAGCACAATATTCCCGTACAGGTCGCGACGCACGTCAATATCGCATTTGTTGATGGACTGGAAGGTCATCTCATGGAACCCGGGGGCTTCATCGAGGCCAATCAACATGGGCTTGAAAAGCGCCTCGGGGCAGCGGAAGCGCTGGTTACCCACCTGCATGATTGTGCCATCTGGGAGCTCAAACGGCTCCTCGTTAACAGTTTTGGCACTGTTCGTCACCTCTTCATCAAAGTCCAAAGCAACATAGCACAGTTGTTCCTTCACATTCCGAACAATCTCCTTCTCGGCAGACGTAGTGAACGTCATCCCACTCTCCATCAGAAGCTTCATCAGATATTCCGTGAGGTCCCGGCCAGCCATGTCCATACGGCGAATGGCATGTGGGAGAGAGTATCCCTCGTAAATAGGGACGGTGTGGGTCACGCCATCACCAGCATCAAGAACGATACCGGTGGTTCGTCCGGACGAGTAGAGTGAGAGCACTGCCTGAATGCCAACGTACATGGCGGGGACACCAAAGGTCTCAAACATGATCTGTGTCATCTTCTCACGATTTTGCTTGGGGTTCATAGGGGCTTCTGTTAGTAGGACGCTGTGTGACTCCGGGTTGACGCGCAGCTCATTGTAGAAGGTGTGATGCCAGATCTTCTCCATGTCATCCCAGTTGGTGACGATACCGTGTTCGATAGGATACTTGAGCGAAAGCACGCCACGCTTTGCTTGAGCCTCGTCGCCAACAAAAAGCTTCTTGCTGGCGCTTCCCATCATCGCTTGCTCGTTCTTTGGTCGGCCAACAATGGATGGAAACACATGGCGCGGCGCATCATCGCCGGAGAAGCCGGCCTTCACCATGCCAGAGCCGTTGTCACAGACAATAGCGGACTGTTCTTCGTCAGACATCCTTAGAAACAAAAAAAAACGCGATATAAACAAAAAACCTAAAAAAGTTTTTCTCCCTGGTTTGTTTGTTATGTGAAAAAAGAAGAAGAAAAAACACGAAATGGACAAAGATCAAACCGCCGTGAGGGTGAGCATCACACACAAAAAAAAAGTCAACGACCACCAACAAGCCATCAAAGCTCAAAGCTGCAAACTCCTATCGACTAGCTTGCTTCTGTACACAATCAATTGAAGAAATTTCCGATTTAGAGAGATGAGCATGCTGAAAAGTCCGTAAACATGTAAGGTTGCTACACAAACAAAAAGAGTGCATTATAAAGGGAAAGAGCATCCTCTCCATTCTGACCAGAAACGTTTCTGTTCTTCACGCAATTTAAATCAAAAAGTAAAGAAATGGATATTTAATTTACAAGGCTTGAATAAATTTCTCGAAGTATAAAAACAATTTTCATTGGAAATCAAACTTCCTTTATTCTATTCAAATTGCGTGAGAATTTCTGCAATTTGCTCAATTTTGCTCAAAAAATGACACTTTCAGGTAGAAAAAATCCAATGCTCAGCTGTGATATGTCAAAGAAAGAACAACTTTTTTAGAAATATATTTCATGATAAGTCGTTATATATGTAATCATAAAATAAAGCATAATTGAAAACAATATTGAATACACATCTTTTTTTTTTTTCCACTTTGGTCATTATATAAATCAATAACTCAATAGATAAATCTTGTTCAAAGCTATAATACTACCCTTCCACAATGCTTTTGACGATGATAGAACTCAAACCTCTGTGATTCCCTCTGATAAAAGGACCTTCCTGAGCAACTGATTTAGTTTGCAGAGAACAGGATGTTTTTTTTTTTTTTACAATAATGGTACGAATGTTTGTTCCAAAGAAAAATTCAACCGAATTGCGCACTTTGCCATATAGTCCACATTGAACTAAAATGAGAAACGGGCAAAAACAAAACAAAACTCTTTATATAGATTTAAAATTTAAAAATATACCACACAAAAAAATTATTGAGAAGCATCAAAGCCTTTTAAAGGTCAAAAAAGATCCAGAAGAAAAGTGGCGTAATTTACATTCTGAATGCCTAAAAAGAAAAGAAGGCAGTAGCTGAAAAAATACAAATAACAAAAAAAAAAATCACTAGATGGAATCTTCCAGGTATTTCTCTCCGCGCAAATATATACAAAGTAAAAACGAAAAACAGTATACATGTATATATATAGAAGTAGATTCCCCCATAAAATACGGAATTCTACCATCACTTTTGAATTTCAGCACTAAAATTATCACACGTTAAAGCGATGTTTACGCTTGCTGTCACCATAGTCAGCACAATAATCATCATGAAATAGACAGTGGTTGGAGTGGATAACTCATTCTCCCATGAACCGGCAGACGTAAAATAAGGTTCTGCGTATATTACCGTAAAAGAAATTATTCTTTCAACAAACACTTGTGTTGGTATCCATCGATACTACTATAAAAAAAAGAACCTCTCGTGAAAAAATTTTTGTTTGGGTGAGTACGTCAAATGGCCCGCCAAAATTTTTCCCAATTACTGTCTCAACCAAATTAAAAAGAAATGTGGTCCCTAAAAATAATAATAATAATAATGAATAAGAGAGAAAAGGACCCCACAAAAATTGCGTAGATAAAGTAATTTATTGAAGCAACCCGACAGATTGTGGGAAATACAATAACAGCCCCGTAAGCAAAAGAATAGGTAAATAATATATTTCCACAGATACATTTCTAGAAAACTTTCCCCCCTCAAATTCTCCGTAAAAAAACCCACTCATGAAAGCACAAACAGACACTGTGAGTTCAAAGGCGTACACCACAAAATTAACACTTGGTTTCATTCCATCACCCAATGAGCCCGTCAAAGAAAATCTAAACGCAGACACACACACACACACACACTGAGAGAAAAAAAGAAGCAAAATTTAAGAAACCTAACCGATTAAAGCAAAAAAAGGAAAAAAATATTTTCCGGGAGGCAAAAAACATCCGCGTGAGGTCGTTTCCATCCAATATCTTCTTCATACATCACACCTTCCAAAACGCCATGCCGTTGAATCTCACTTTCGGGTGTTTTTGCAACAATCAAAAGGAAGAGTCCAAATAAAAGAGAATAAAAAAAAGTGAATTTAAAATAACCATTTTCTTTTTACTTCTTCTAAATCAACAGTTTTATCTTCTGTAGGGATCATTTCAGATTAGCTGTTTGTATAAATCCATAAAAGGCTATAAGTGGAATTTATTGGTTGTGTTTCTGACGATAGTATAACTGGTTGGTGTTCCAATGATTCAGTTTAAAATTTAATGATACAATTAAAAAAAAAAAAAAAGAAACTTACACAAAACCCATCTATTCAGCATGACACCTCCCTTTAGATTTACATATCCAATGAGAATTGCAGCCTCCATATTGTCCACGTGAATTGTAAAGAAGTAAGCTTTTCGGATAACTCCTGTAAACCGGATTTCCTCTGTTTGCTTTAAATTTGATCGGTGCAATAAAGACTTTCTTGAGTTTATTTTTAAAAGGTGTAAGGTTCGATTTCCCCCGTACTGCCGCAAAAAGTATCCCAAAACATTTGTCCCTCGAAGTTCAGGTCATTTGTTTTGCAAAAAAGAAGGCCATAAAAGTCATATTTTTCTACATATATATATCCGTTAAGGAAAATAACGCGTCAGCACACGCCGGCACAAAATCGCCAGCTTTATATAATTGTTCCGTTTCGAATGAAAAACAGTAAATCGACCATATCGCCGGGAATGTGACCGACAAAAACAATCCACCAATCATAGATCTGCAGCAAGATATTTGTGAATGGCCTCTGAATAAAATCAAAAAATAAAGAAAGAAAAAAAGGAAGAAAAATGGAAATCAATAAAATAATATTTTCGCCTATATATAAGCAGTTATTCTAAAAATAAACTTAGGCAAGAGAAAAAAAGTATTTGCTAAATACCAACAATAGAAAAATGACATTTTACCAGCGATCGCCCTTGCAGACGGCATCAAGTGGGGCCGCTGCACTCTTGCCGTCTCGTTTCTTCCGCCACCACAGCGTCGCATACGAAGGTGCTGGGACCCCAACGGGTTTAAAGGGCATCCTTCCCACCATTCCACTTACACTCATAAAGCGGAACAAAGACAATTGATCACAACGAGGACAATGATCATTACGCAGCGTGAGCTTCCGATAATAACTGTTGGAAACAAGAAACTCATACATATATCCGCATCTTACACACGAAAACACAGCCATTATATGGTGTACTAATTGTAATGCAATTTTCCCTTCTTTGTTATACCTTTGCCTTATTTTTCATGCACGATTAGAAAGGAGGAAAAAAGTCGTTCACCATCGGCCAAAAGAAAAAAAACAAAGCACACAAGAACAGCAACACCAAAAGCCGCCCCCACAATAAAGACATAACGCCAGAAAGAAAACACGCAACAGGTCTCCCATGAAAAAAAACCCGCCCCTCGACCCCCCGCGGCGCGCCCGTGGCGGCCGAGCCGGGCGAAACCCGCGCCTTCTGCGGGCGGCGGGGCGCGCCGCAAGCGCCCGGGATCCGGGACGGGAGCGCCGCCCAAAACAGAAGGGGAGAGAGGCGCTCGTGCTGCCGCGGGATCGCGGCTTTTGTGAGGGCCATCGCGTCTCCCGGGAGTTTGTGGAGAGAACGATCGAGGGGGAGCTGGCCGGCTTCGTTGATGCTCGCGTGTCCTGATACACCGGGCGCGCTTCTTTACGACGCTTTTCTGTCGTATGAATTTTTGGAAGGATACGACTTTAGCGGGGCAGAGAACCGATGGCGGCTGGACAATTTTTTATTTTTCACCCACCCTCTTTTGATTCCCACCGCGCGGCGGGGTCTTGTGGCTGGAGGATCCCAAATTCTGCTACTTCGTAAGTAATTTATGAATATATATACATCCCGTGACGAGAGTGAACGGGCCACAATTGTGGCTAATGAATGATGTATATACACTTACTTGTTCTTAAACTTTGAGGATATGTTGGATCCATTTTTATTCCATTCATCCCTTTCTTATTCCTATCTTGTTTGTTTTCTATTATCGATAAACTCAGGATTCGGCCAGCGGCCCAGAAGATCATGCTGAAATATGCTGGACCGCTGTCGTTCCATTACCATCTTCTCTTTCCGTCTTTGATATACGCAAAAACTAAAAAAATGGAAAAAAAAAAGAAATTATTCTATAGCTCTGTGAATGTGAATTGATTATGTTACCCAAGATTAACACGCACAGGAACTACCTTTCAGCGATTGGTAAAAAAAAAAATATTGAACTTCTGTCTTCGAAACGTCTCGCTAACAATGGCATTTTGTCCAAGGCAATTGTGGATAGAAACGATCGTTCTGAATTGGCATTTATTCCAACTTTCGATGAAAGTGATTTTCACCACGGTGGTAATAAACGTGTTGAGTCATCCCATTTCCTACCAATGTTGCGTCTACTAAACGCAAGCGCAACTGCTATAACTGATGACGATCTCAAGGAACTTGCCAACAATCGTGGTTTGATTAAAGTTGTCTTGGAGGATTGCCACAACCTAATTGATGTGAGTTCATTGTCTTATATTTCCACATTGGAAGAAATTCATCTTCGTGGTTGTTCGAAGGTCTCATCTATTGGTGGTATTGGGCGACTTCCTATGCTTTGGCTACTGGATTTAAGTCAGACTGCGGTGACAGCCAATGATTTGAAAGGTCTTCGTGAAAGCAGAAGTTTGGTGAAAATCCGTCTTGATGACTGTAAGAATCTTAATGCAGTAAACTGTTTGTCATGTATCACGTCTATTGAAGAAATTTATATTCGTGGGTGCAAAAACGTAAAGCATATTGGAAGTTTGGGATTGCTTTCGACATTGCACACACTTGATGTGAGCAAAATGCCAATAACCAATAAGGGTTTGCTTGGGATTGGCGCGAGTTGTGGTCTGGAAAGAATT